ACACCTGACCTAAAGACAAGAACAGGTTTGATGTCTCGGGGCCTTCTTGTTGGGGTTAGGGCTCTGTCTCTCTCACTGTCTCACAGACTAGCAGATCAGCCTCGAGCACCCCAAACTCACATGCTACCATCTGAGCGACTCTGGCTGGATGCTGGGATCTGCTCTGAGCCAGGAACCATGGCCCGAGTTTGCATGTTTCGATTGGCTGGACCTGAGTCACATCCCCACCTGTGTGTGTGGAGCGAGGCAATTCCCTGTGCACCATCTGGAATACGTTCCCCACTGGGGAGAGGGATTCTTTTGTCCATAGTAGGAGGAAGGGGATAGTGGCCTTAGGTGACTGACTGGCTCTGTCTACAGACTAGTTCTCAGTCACCTCTTTACCTAAGTGACAGGACCTAACAAAACTCTGTCCCATCAGAATAAGCGGATGCGTGAAGAAGTGGTTGTTCACCATGCAGAGACTGAAGGTCGTGAAGAGTACTCGTCTGTGGTTTTGAGACGGTTCTGGAATGTGTACCCATTTTGTTCAGCAAACGGATGAGTCTTAGTAAAGGAAGAATATCGCCAAACACAGAGCTCTCGTGTACTTACGGCTCTGAGTTTTTCTTCAGTCCTTCCTAACCCTGAAGGCATAACTTGTGTTAGACAACAAAAGGGGCTTTAAAATCCTTGAAAAGAGGCTCCAGAGCTTGAGGGGTGTTGAACAGCTTTCAGGAAACAGCGGTGGGTAAGTTAAATGAACGTGAAAACTATGCTTTACCTTTGCTTTGGAACGTGCAGGTTTGGAAATCAGAGGGAAGGCAGCTTGCCTGCGGCACAGTCAGCCTGCACTCTCAAAAGGAAAGTGCTGGAGAAATAATTGGCTAAGCCCGCTTGGCTTTTGCTTTCTCGTCTGGACAGAATGCCAGTCGGTCCTCCCACATCATTCCCTTTCCATGACAGTTATTCGTTTCTAGCAGTATTACTGGAAAACCTCTTGTGAATATTAAAAACTGTATTTTTAACTTTTTAAAAAAGTTAATATGTGACTTTTAACTTTTTGCAAGTGGCCTCAACTCTCAAGGGGGAAGCTGGTCTTTAAGTGCACCCTGGCAAGTTTGGTGATGGCGGTTGTGACCCGTGGCTGCAAGGACGCAAGCTCAGAGCTAGTTCAGTGCTCAGTGCCTGGTCCCTGCTGGTGGCGCTCAGTGCTTCAGAGCTTCTCAAATTTCCGAGCCTAGGGATCAGCTGGGATTTTGTTTAACTGTGAATTCTGATGCAGTAGATCCGAGCTGGGGCCAATAAGCACCCAGTGCTCCTGGTCCAGGGACCACGTTTAGCCTGGATCAGGCCTCGCTGCTCCCGAGGCCACAGGGAGCCAGTACTCACTCTTCCACTGCCGGACACTGCCACAGCCTCCAGAAGGGCCCCTGAGCCACTTGGACCAAACAGACAGTTGCTGTGGTCCCCACATTGCTCAGTGGTTCCTAGGGTATGGCTTGACCATCTAAACATGTGTTTTCTAGATGCTGGAGGGAGCTCTGGACTGGCCGGGGTTTCTGGCTGCATCCCCTGGACAGAAATGTCGCTAGGCTGGCTGACATCTGTAAGCCCCTTTGCCACTCTTCCTCAGATGAGGAGGACCTCAGGGCTGCCTGGGTGGTCTCTTCCTGGCTGTCCTCCTCCCTGTCCTTTCCTTTCTTCTACGTGCCCTTCATTTTTGCAATGACATAAACAATGCAGGCTTGTAGGAATTCAAGGAAAAAAGGTCAATTTGTATGGAAGGGAATTGAGTGAAAAGCAGACATCTCCTTTCCGACCCCCGAGTACAGGTCCCCAGAGGTCACCACTGTTAATACTTCTGATTACACCTGCTACGGTGCTTTAGCTCCCACTGGCCTAACTGTTAAGGGGATCCTTTATTTCGTGCGGTTGGAAGTCCCTGGTTGGACTCCAGGGTTGGTGGATTCAGTCACTCTTGGGGTTCTCTCTGTCTTCTGCTCTGCGTCATCCAAGTCACTGAGGTCATCCTGGGGCTGGTTCCTCTTGTGGTCAGGTGGCCACTGCAGCAACTGGGCCATGTGTTCTGCATTCTTACAGCTGGGGAGAGATTTTCACTCTCTCCTCCTCTGCGCCAGCGAAGTCCTTCCTTTCAATCTGGATCAATTAGAATGGCCAGGGGGATGCTGTGCTCTGATTGGCCTAACCAGTCTCCTTGAACTTCTGGGGGTGGGATCTTGAGATCTTCCTAGAAGTGGGAAGAGGGGATTCCCAAACATGGGGCTTCTGTTAAGAAGGATGAAAGGGGAATGAATGTTGGGGAAGAGACTAATAGTGTCCATACTCTCCCAAAAGTCTCCATGCATATGCCTGTAGTCTTGGTATTCACTCTTATTTACTTATTTAGCACCAACAGTTTGCCAAACACATAGGCTATCCCATCTAATGCTAATGATAAACCCACGAGGGAGGTGCCTTCTGTTTCCCGTTTATGGGTAAAAAACTGAGGCTCAGTTGACTTGCCCAGGGCCACACAGCACACACCAGAAGAGCAGGGACTTAAACCCAGGCGTGCTGGTTCTACACTCTCAACCCATGGGTGATTCTGACTCCTAAGTTGCTCCCTGCAGGTTGTCTCTCCTGTCTCTGAGCCAGTGTAAGAAGCTCGGCATTGGGCTGTGCTGTCCCCACAGTCCCCACATGAATCAGGCCCCTAACAGAGATGCCACAAGTGTTAGAATCATGTGAGTAAGTCCAAAACCATATTTCTGTCCCTAGATCCTAATAATTATTATCACCGACGGAACGAAATGACCACCACCGATGACCTGGATTTTAAGCACCACAACTATAAGGAAATGCGCCAGGTAAGACCCAGACCACAGTTTACCAGGAATTTGTCAAAAGAGCAACACATTCTCTGCCCATAGACTTAATTTTTCTGTTGCAGGCATTAGGACAATGTGTTAGAGACAGGGATCCGAACGACCATTTGGTTTGCCGAAGACGCACTAAGTGCTTGTCAAGGCTGAGAACGCCTCGTTGGGGTTTGAGTGACCAGAGGAAGGCTTCCTCCATTGCAAACAGTTCAGACAGAATTCACATCCGGGCTTTTCTCATTTAATAGTCTAGTTCTTAAGAATCACTGTGTGTTTGAGCAATATCACTGGTTTAAGGATGTTAGTCATAGGCAGAGTCAAAAAGAAGAGCTAGAAAAACACTGATAATAGTAGCATGACGCATGCACACAGGACCAAATGCTGTGCTCAGCAATTTACATACAGTAATGTGTCCAGTCCTCTTAACTACCCTGGGAGGGCAGGTGTCCTTATCCTGTAGATGGGGAAACTGAGTCACAGAGAGAATAGATAACACTACCCCTTGTTATGCAGATTCTTGGAGTTTCAATCTTTGTTACATGTTAGAATCACCTGAGGAAATTTGTAAACAACAGAAAAAAATACCTATGCTTGAATCCCATCTCAGGCCCATTAAAGCAGAATCCTAAGGAAAAGGGCCTGGAGATACAAATTTTTAAAATCTCCCTTTGTGATTCTGCTGTCCAGCTGGGCTTCAGAATTGACTGATACCTTTATAGCTCTTAATACTGTTAGAAGGAAAAGATAATCCCAGATGAGAGTTTCCCCACATTTAATCACAGAAACCCAGTAATTCTGAGCTTTGAACAGCATTTGCAGACAAGGTACAGATGTGGGAAGGGACACATATTTATGAGGACAAGCTAAAAGGTGGTCCCTATGCTAAATGCGTTGCCAGTGAAGTCTTATTCCATGTCTCCCCCAGTGTGTGCTAGAAAGCGTGGAGATCTCAGGCAAATGAGAAATCCCTAGATGTCTAAAAATCCAGAGACAGATCAAACAGAAATGTCCTTGTGAATACATTTACAGGACAAAGATTCACCAAGGGTGAATTAATACGGCTGAAAGGGAGGGAAGGAGGCAGCCGTCCATTGCAAATGGGGGAGCAATTAGACTGAGCCCCAGTCCCACAGCATGAAAAAGCCTGGTTTGTCTTGATGTCATTTAATTTGAGACACTCACACTCAGCTTCCAGACACCTGCCAGCACAGACTTAGAAGTGGGATGTGCTAAAGAAACCTTCTTGCTGTCTTACTCTTCAGAAATCCAGATAATGTGTTTGGACTTGAGGTCTGTGAGTCATCCCTGTGCTCCGCTCCTCAGGATATTTATATGGGCTGCTCACTGTTCCATTTGACAGAGCACCGGTGTACCAGCTCTGAGACAAATATCAACTCAGTGGGTGCAGTTAACACCAAAGGCGATAAATCGAAATGCATTTGAAATGAGCTAACTGCACAGAGAGTCTAGGTAGCTGGTATCCTTAAATAGTTGTTCTGTGTGCAGAATTGGGGTTCTTCTCATAAACGAGAGGCTGTGGGGTGTGCTTCATGACACTAGGGAGCTGTGATCACCATCACTTGGTAGAAGTTTGGATGGTCAGTGAAGCCTCCTCAGGTGACCCTGGGTAACCCCTCGGAGGTCCCACAGCCTGGCAGCCCTCACCTGGAAACTGTCCAGGGGAGCATCTGTCAATCCTGAAGAGTGTTCAAGTCAGAAGTGACTTGCCATTTGGATTCCTGGCTCCTGGGGATGGGAAAGAAGCAACATTTTTAGGGCTTTTCCTGTATGGAGTCTGCTAGGTTATTGTAGAAATCTTTCTACCTCAGGAAAAATTGTTAGTTTTTCTTAGTATTGAAAGAGACATTTATAACAAACAAACAAAAAAATGAGAAACAGCAGCAGGAAACAAGAAGAGAAAATAGAAAAGCTTTTTGCGTTGTAAGAGGAACATAACGTGGGAGTGTGCGACTCTTCCGTGCAGGAAATGTCGTTGGAGCGCTGCCTGCACCGTTCCAGGCACGGGGCGCAGGAGGATGGGGTGACGGGAGGAGAAGGGGAAGGAGGGAGGCCTGACAGGGATGTCATGAGGCAGAGTAAGGGAATCGTTCCAAGAGAATGCCGATGCCTTCCTGGCATGTGCTGCTTTTACAATTGCTTGGTTATTTGTCTACATGCACGCTGTCTGTCCCCCTCATTTGAGACAATAAGGGCAGAGACCCAGTCATTTTATCATCCGTCATGTGCACTTGATCAATATGAGTATTTGAGGTTGTTAGAGTCATGGGGGGTGGCAGGGAGAAGCGACAGGTCTGCTTGGCCATGGCTGGGGGGCTTTGGTTGCACGTGGGCTCTGTGATCGTCCAAGGTGTGGGGCCAGGCATTGCCAGGCAGAGGTGGGAGGGAGCGTGCTCTGAGCAGAGAGGACGGCAGGAGCAGAGGTGCGGAGGCCGAGCCTGCGGGTGCTTCTGGAACAGCTGGCGGAGGAGGCAGGGCCTGAGTGCTGGGGGGAGGCTCATGCCCTGAGTCTGCGGTCAGCGGAGGGTCATTACGTGAGCAGAGCTGTGTTTGCAGAAGCTTTGTGGACAGCAGTTGGCCAGAATTGCCATAGTCCCCAGGAGAGGGGCCACTTGGGCTTGAAGGATGAGGGAGAGGCATTTCTAGGAAAGAAAAAAGTGGTTTTGAGGAAAAGGTGAACGACTTGATTTTGTTTGGGGTACAGTGTTGTGAGGTCCCAAATGCTCAGGAAATGCTGATTGGTCGCCTGCACGTGATGCAGGCAGAAAGAAGGAAAGTCGTGGGACCCGGGCTGGAAGGCAGCCAGCTGGTGGTGTGGATTTCCAGGGCAGCTAAGGATGGCCAAGGACAGCAGGCAGCGGGGACAGTGCTGAGCCTGCCCACCCTGCTCCGTGCTCAGCGGACCCTGTGGCAGGGGAGTTTCTGGCTGCAGGAAGCCAGGGCCGGGCAGCCAGCCTGCGATCTGGACCCACCCAGCTCCTCACCCACGATCCGCCTCTCACTGTGACCCCCTCCCTCCTCTGTCCCTCCGTTTCCCACTGGACCAGGTGCCGTGGCTCTTTCTAGGAGAGATGAAGGGAAAGAACTTGTCTTTTTTTTTTTTTACATTTTCATTCACGGACAAACAATATCGTATCAACATTAAAGCCAAACCAGAAGTCTAAAGCTAAATCCTTCACAGACCCCCCGCCCTGAGGAATCAGCACTTTTCGCTCCCCCCATTTCTATCCATTGTTTGATCTTCTTCGTTTCTCAGAATTCCTATGATTTTGATCATCTTCGTCTGGTGTTTCTCAGCTAATGTTGGGTCATTAGCTCTTTTCCATGCTGTCTTCTAGTTGGAGTGTGGCAGAATGTTCCCGTGAGTGGGTGCCTCATAGTTTTCTCAGCTTCTTTCCTGCTCTGGAGCATTTCATGTGGATCTCTCCCAACTTTTAATGAGTACTGACAAAATATGAAAGATGCCACTACAAGTGTCATCCTGCATTCAATTTTACCATCCTTTATGAGTAATTTCCTTCTGATACATTGCCAGAAATGGAATTACTAGAAAAGAGGGTCTTTATTCTCTCTCCTGCAGTGGGGGGAAGTGGCAGAGCCCAGGATTCAGTAGATACCAGGATGCAAAGTTCGTTCCCATCTCAGAGCTGAGGAAACAGTCTTGAAGAGGCTAAGAGTCTTGCAAACCCTGGTGCTCTCTAAGGTGGTGTTTCTCAATCATTTTTCCATCACTGCCCTCCTAGGGAGTCTTTTCACACATTTTTTCTTAATCGCCCTCCCCCCACTATATTAAATTCTAAGGGATAAAATTTTGCCAGGTGGGGTTGAGCTTTGGAGGGCCACAAAGCACTGTAGGGTCTAAGATTTTTTGGCCCCCAAAGAACCGATCTTCTCACCCCTGTTGAGAATGGACGCTCGAGGCCCTGATGAAAGTTCTATTCCTAGCTCTGTCTGTATCCATCAAGTCCCAAACATCTACCACCAAGACCCAAACTCCAGAAGCACACGTTTGACTCTTCAGCAGTCGGCGAGCATACTCTCTTGCAAGGAAGAGCTGTGTTTTCATGGAGAACTTCGTTCCTGGTTGGCTATGGTGCTGGTGGCCGCAGAGAAGTGCTTCCTGGCATTCCAGAGGGCCAGTGTGCAGACAGAGTTGGAAAGAACCTTCATGAAGGAGAAGATTCTTCAAATGCACATGTTCTTGTCTTTCTTGTATGTAGGAAGAAAGGTTGTGATACCGCGACACAGTGACATGTGGTTCATTTCTTCACCGGTGCTCACCATTGGAGGGACAGTGTGGTTGGCGTACAAGTCTGTGACAGTGGGTAGAGTATAAAGAGGTGACTCTGAAGACCTGCAGCCCGAGAGTCTTCCTGTGTCCACGGCTAAGTGTGCATCCCAAGGCAGGATGATACTGGTCTTCCTCAAGTGTCAAGGTCGTGGTCTTTAGCCCTGGTGGCATATTTCTCCTGCAGTTGACTGGTAGGGGAGGAGGGTGACACCAGAGGACCGCCAGGCCCGTGCTGACTGCCTGCATTTGTTGCTTTATTGGCGATAAACCACCTGGCTCTCGTGCCTGCAGAACTCACTGGTCATTGATTGGAGCCTGAGATAGTGGATCACCTGCAGATCAGGATTTGCCAAGGTTGATGCTGGTGGCTGAGAGTGACTGCATCAGCAGGGACTACAACACGGGGCCTCGGAAGAGATGGCGAGCGTGCTGTGGCTCTTTCAGAACAGTCGTGGTGTGCAGCGGACACACGGGTGGCAGGGCTGTGCTGGTTCTCATTGCTTTCCTGCGCCTTCATGGACAGATAGTGGTGCGGGAAGAGCCCCAAGAGTTCAGAGTCCTGGCTCCACCTGGTACCAGCTGGGGGACGCAGGGCAAATCACTCAGTGGCTCTCAGGGACTCAGTCTCCATATCTGTAGGATGGGGACAGTCCCCTCTGCCTTATCTGCTTCACCTGGTGATAATAATGGTGAAATTCAGTAAAGAACCAGAATGTATTCTTACTGCTCTTGTTAACATTATTGGTGACATTATTACTGTGTCCTTTATTAAAATGTGGCACTACTCACGTGGCTCTACTCTCCCCTGCAAATATGTATCCTTGTGGCGATGGGCAGAAGCTATGTTTCCCTCACGTGTTTTCCTCCATTTATGGTGGGTTTATGTTTTGGCTGTCTTGCAAACAACAGTCCTTTGTAGCCAGCTTCCTCTCACCAAAATATTGTGACACAAAGGGACACGTAAAGTGAAGCATGTTTTCCCCTGAGGAGCAGTGAGAGAATTAGGCCCTGAATTCCTGACTGGGACTGCACCTGCCACCCCTTGTAGATGTGTTGTGAAAGCCCAGGTCATGGTAGCAGTGACTCTTTCCACTCCTTTAGAAGTGCTCCTTGATGCCCCTGAGACCTGCTTTACCTGGTCCTCTAAGAGCGCTGTCTTATGGAAGGCAAGTGAGGCAGGCAGCAGGGTACCGCCAGCATATCATAAACTCTGCGTGATACCAGTTTTCCAGTTCTAATAGATTTTAACCCTCCACACAATTTGCAACAGAATTGTTTATTTGTAATTTACAAGGACATTTTACGGATAATTCAGTTGATGAAGAATTTTCTGGAAGATTGTTAGTGCACGTTCAGGTTCACTCAGTCTTTCTGTGGGACATGCCCTTCCTCTTGTCTTCACCAACCCAGCTCCAGCTCATCTTTTAAAAAGATGAAGCCCTCCCTGATGAGTACCTGCCCACCCCACACCTGGCACGCTGCCTCTACAGCACCTGAGCGTCCCTCCTGGCCTTTAACACACACCACCAAATCGGAAGTGAGCATTCCAGCCTCCACCACCAGTGTGGTGCGTGGCTGGCGCCTGGCGAGGAGCGGGTGCTTCTGTCAAGGTTGAGCGAATAGAAAGATGTCCTTCAAGTCAGATCTTCTTTCACTTGGGGACTGCTAAGCAGTATAAACCCAGCAAATCAAAGCTACGTAGGAGCTAACACACAGGTGCTTGTTCAGTGATGTGAGGCCAGGCAGCCTCTGAGGAGAGGGTGTCTCTGGTCCTTCGCCCCCAAGGGCAGCTTGTTCTCCATGACTCGCAGAGTTTTTGTCACCTCCCTTGGCAGCCTGTCTCATTCTCTCAGACCAAAGCTGTCAGTTTGACTAGCTAACTTTAAAAGCAAAACTCAGAAAACAGCACATGTTTGCTTCCCTTCCTTGCTGCAGCCAGCCTTCCCCACCGGGCAGAGCAGTGCAGCCCCGTGGCCCCTGCTCTGGCCACCCTCTGCTCTCCTTCCCTCACCGCAGTAAGTGGGGTCATCGCGTGCCTCCCCTCCGTGCTGCACCGTGAGCTCCACAGGGCAGGAGCAGGGTCTGTGTCCTCAGCTCAATAAGTGTAGATGTTCACTACATTATGAAACAGTTGATATTCAGTAAGAAATCTTTATTTGAGCAGGGATACAGAGATAAAAGGCTCAGTCTGTCTCCTCAAGGATATGCAGTCTCGTGAGGGGATAATAAGAAAACAGGAAATCACATTAAAAATTAATGACCACCCACAACCGGGGAGGTGATAACCACAACCAGGGAGGTGGTAACCACAACTGAGGGAGATGTCTTGGTCGTTCAGGCTGCCGTGACAAGAATGCCATAAACTGGGTAATTTACAAATAACAGAAAAGCATTGCATACAGCTCTGGAGGCCGAGAAATCCAAGATCAAGGCACAGGCAGAGTCGGTGTCTGGTGAGGGCTGCCCTCTTGTTCACAGGCTGAGTCTTCCTGCTGTGTCCTCGCATGACGGAGGGGGCAGACACACTCCCTTAGGCCTGGGCACTAATGCCATTCACCGGGACTCCCTGCCATGACCTAAGCACCTCCTAAAGGCCATACCTCTTAATACTCTTGCTCTTGGGATTAGGTTTCACCCTATGAATTTTGGGGGGACACAAGTATTCAGACCATAGCAGGAGGGGACAGCCACAATCAAAGGGAGCCGTGACTACAGGGCCAGGAGGGGCGGTAGCTGGGAGTTTCCTCATAGAGGAGATGAAACAGAGCAGGTGCTGGAAAGAAAGGCCGGCGTTATCCCAGGGCAGGGGTTACAGGTGGAGGGCATAGCAGCGGGGTGTGGGGATGCGGGGTGCCTGGGGGCTGTGGCGGAGAGCAGGGGCGGCTGTCTTCTTGGGAGCTCTGCCCTTTGGTAGTTACAGGTGGAGGGCATAGCAGCGGGGTGTGGGGATGCGGGGTGCCTGGGGGCTGTGGCGGGGAGCAGGGGCGGCTGTCTTCTTGGGAGCTCTGCCCTTTGGTGTGTGACCGTTTTTGCTCAGAACCTTCAATTCACTTTTTTTTTTTAGCTGATGAAGGTTGTGAATGAAATGTGCCCCAATATCACCAGAATTTACAACATTGGCAAAAGCCACCAGGGCCTGAAGCTTTACGCCGTGGAGATCTCTGACCACCCTGGGGAGCATGAAGTTGGTGAGGAGGCCCCTCTGCGATGCTCTGTGATGTGATTGTATATAATATTATATTATAGTATTAATAATATAAATATTATAGATAATACTTTATCTACTCTTGCTGAGGAAGGAGGCTGTTCACCCCACGAGAACGTTCACAGGACAGGGCATGAGATGTCCACGCAGAAGCTGTCACATAGCTCCTGCCCAGTTTGCTTCTGTGAGCCTCTCACTTATAAGGGCTGTGGAATTATGTAAACTCGAAGTACCCTCCTTTTCTCCTAACAGACCATGTTTAATTCTATGTTCCTTACCTCCGAGACCCGTCACAGTAGCCAAAGAGGAAAGTGGTCAGGACAAGACAGAATTTTCTCCTCTTACAGGACTCCCTGATCATTAATGGCTCAGATTAGAGGGGGCTCCCTTTTTTATTATAAATTTCAATCCTACTTCCAAGCATTTCCTGTTTTCAGCCATTTTCCATTTAATCATTCCCAACTTGTGTTCTTGGAGGTCCTATGGGCTTCTCTGGTTTTCTTTTTGGTAAATCTGGGAGTTCTATAGAAATCCACTGATATTTAAGTATGTTTGTCTGATTTATTCAACTTTAAAATTCATTAATATCTCAGGAATTTCTTTTAAAGGGCACAGGACTTATCTGCTGGTAAAATCACGTGTCCTCAAAAGCAGCAGATTTGCCAGAGAGGGAACTGTTAGCTCATACCCAGCACTGATACACCCCTTGTCTTAGTCTGTTCGGGTGGCTATAACAAAATACCTGAGACCAGTAATTTATAAGTAACAAAAATGTATCACTCCCAGTTCTGGAAGCTCAGAAGTCCACCATCAAGGCCCTAGCAGGTTCAGACCTGGCGATGTCCTGTTCCTCTCCAGTGCTTTCTTGCTGTGCCTCACCTGCACAAGGCAGAAGGGCAAAATGGTCCATCTAGTTCCCTCGAGCCCTTTTATAAGGACACCGATCCTATTCGTGAGGGCAAAGCCCTTGTGACTTAATCTCCTCCGAAACGCCACACCTCTAAATACTATCACACTGGATCTTAGGTTCCAATATAGGAATATTGGGGGCATATATGCACTAAACCCTACTATCCCCAGCATATCAAAAGCTGAGCTTTGGAAGAGAAAATACTCAGACAGCCCCTTTACAGAATTGTGTCTCTGCTGATTTGCCCGGATGGACTGTTTTCTGCTTGTATTCACTTATCTTTGTGTCTTTGTAAAACTTAATAGGAAATTCTTTTAAGAAAAATAACTGTCTCTCAAAAGAGAAAAATCATGGCTGTGGCTTGTGTTTAACTTGTACATTTCAAACCCTAAGCACGCTGCTATTTTATCTATTCTTGCTGAGTAAGAATGAACATTATTACCCAGTGGCTGGTGTCATCTAAGATTTTTCTCCACATTTTCTTACAGGCCTGACAATTTGGGAAGAAAGAAATTGTCCTGATATAATTTTGGAGGTTTATTTGACAGAACACAGGGCTATCATTTAGATCGTTCAGAGACTTGTCCTCCCTAATGCATGCAGTAAGCGCCGACTGGCTCTGTGCATCCTGGTATGAACCTGAGCTTCCCTCTGTCTTTGCGCACAGGGGAGCCCGAGTTCCACTACATTGCAGGAGCCCATGGCAACGAGGTGCTGGGCCGGGAGCTGCTGCTGCTGCTCACGCAGTTCCTGTGTCAAGAATACCTGGCCCGGAACATGCGCATCGTCCACCTGGTGGAGGAGACCCGGATCCACATCCTGCCCTCCCTCAACCCCGACGGCTATGAGAAGGCCTACGAAGGGGTAATGGCTCCTCACGGCCGCGACTCGAATATGCTCAGCCAAGAGTTTGTGCAAAATGCTCCCTCTGAGCTCCCTGAGTGTCTCTCTGCTGAGTCAGGGGAGCCCAAAGCTTTAGGAAAGATGCACAGTAGGAGCTGAGAATTATGGTGGCCCTGAGAGGTGGACGTGACAGCAAGCTGGAGAGAGTGGGTGTGAATAATCATATGCCGTAGGTACAGGGACGAAAACAGAGTATGTACTAACCCCTCGTATCAGTGGAGCGTTTAATCATGACATGTGCAAACTTGATTATTACCTTTAATCTTCTCATCAGACCTCTGAGGATAGTTGTTTTCATTATTCTGATGGACTGTTTATATTTCATGTTCTAATTATGATACAGAATGTGTATAGGTTGTAGGTGTGTATACAATTATGTATAGAGTATAATTAGTATTATGTCGTGTCATATATCCATAATGATGTATCACAGTATCAGGGAATGAAATAGAAAGCCATATTTGAAACAATGGTACCTGTCAAATGCAGGCTTTATGCAACAGAGTTTTGGTAGTGATTTGAAGTGCTAAACAGAGAGGCAGAACCGTGGCCAGGGCAGGGAGAATACATGAATGTGGTGGCTGTTGATACTGCAGCGATGGAGTCCTAGGTTGATTACTACTGGGAGGGTCAGCCGACCAGTGTAGAAGGGAGAAGGAAGAGGTGGAAGAAGGGGCCTGAAGCTTTGACAGCGGAGAGTTTCTCTGCAGTCCCTTTTGCAGCAATTTGGCTGTATCATCCATCACCCACCAAGTATTAGTAGCAAGTTTTTCAGTATTCTTCAGATACCATCGTTGGGTCAAAGGGTGGCCAGAGGCTTAGAGACGCAGCCGCAGTGGAGATGGGCATCGGTGTACCTCGTATGGTTGAGAGTCAGGGTCGTCCTGCGGTCTGTGGGTCCTTCACATTCTGGATTATCTTCCAGGGATCAGAGCTGGGAGGCTGGTCCTTAGGACGCTGGACCCACGACGGGATTGACATCAACAACAACTTTCCTGATTTAAACACACTGCTCTGGGAGGCAGAGGACAGGCAGAACGTCCCAAGGAAAGTTCCAAATCACTACATCGCAATCCCTGAGTGGTTTCTGTCTGAAAATGCCACGGTGAGTAAAAGTACCCCCTGATCTGTAGAGCAGCGGGAGGCAGAGTTAAAGCCACTGGTTTTTGCAGAAGCTATGACATTTAAGAACTGGACAAAACCATTTTTTTCTTTCATGTTTTCTTCAAAAGTAGGGAAGAGTGCTAGGTAATGGCTACCTTTTAAATTGATATTTAGGGAGATTCTTTATAGAAGAGAAATCATGTGGTTATATTTCTTAACAACCACAGAGTGCTTCAAAAACAAGACAACCTGCTCGGAATTGTGTGTGTTTATTAGTATCCTCAGCCCTGTCAGTTACACTGCTATGAAATTATCCTTAATCCTCACTGGTTGCTTGATTTATCTTACTTTCATTTTAAATGTCCCCATGGATTTATTACATGTGGTGCTTCTTTGTAGAGAAAAATGAAATTGGATGAGAAATACTTTCCCCAAATTTCTTATGTCTGTTTTACAAAGAATGTGTTGTAAAATAATAATAATAATAATAATTCCTACTAAATTTCCCATGCCTTTTATTGCCTTCTGTGCCCACAGTAATNATGGGCATCGGTGTACCTCGTATGGTTGAGAGTCAGGGTCGTCCTGCGGTCTGTGGGTCCTCCACATTCTGGATTATCTTCCAGGGATCAGAGCTGGGAGGCTGGTCCCTAGGACGCTGGACCCACGACGGGATTGACATCAACAACAACTTTCCTGATTTAAACACGCTGCTCTGGGAGGCAGAGGACAGACAGAATGTCCCAAGGAAAGTTCCAAATCACTACATCGCAATCCCTGAGTGGTTTCTGTCTGAAAATGCCACGGTGAGTAAAAGTACCCCCTGATCTGTAGAGCAGCGGGAGGCAGAGTTAAAGCCACTGGTTTTTGCAGAAGCTATGACATTTAAGAACTGGACAAAACCATTTTTTTCTTTCATGTTTTCTTCAAAAGTAGGGAAGAGTGCTAGGTAATGGCTACCTTTTAAATTGATATTTAGGGAGATTCTTTATAGAAGAGAAATCATGTGGTTATATTTCTTAACAACCACAGAGTGCTTCAAAAACAAGACAACCTGCTCGGAATTGTGTGTGTTTATTAGTATCCTCAGCCCTGTCAGTTACACTGCTATGAAATTATCCTTAATCCTCACTGGTTGCTTGATTTATCTTACTTTCATTTTAAATGTCCCCATGGATTTATTACATGTGGTGCTTCTTTGTAGAGAAAAATGAAATTGGATGAGAAATACTTTCCCCAAATTTCTTATGTCTGTTTTACAAAGAATGTGTTGTAAAATAATAATAATAATAATAATTCCTACTAAATTTCCCATGCCTTTTATTGCCTTCTGTGCCCACAGTAATTTAGCTCCTTACCCTTATTCTTTGATCTGATATGTTCTGCAAGAGGTCTGCCTTGACTGGTATGTAAGTTAGTGTTAGGTTCAGCTGCAACAACAGAAAAAACAAACTAATGGCTTAATAAGGTTTAATTTTTTTTTTTCAAATAAAAGTACCCTGGAGGCAGATGGTGCAGTGCCAGCCACACAGAAACCCCATGATCATCAGGAACCCAGGACCTGTCTCTTTCTGTACCATGTTAGCGTGTGACTTTCATCCTCAAGTTCATAATCCAAGGTGGCAGTTGCTGCTCTAGCATGCTGTCATGTCTATGAAGAAAGAGAAGAGAAAGGGCTTTAAAAAGTCCTCCCCTCAGATAGTTCAATTTCTTATAAAAGGCATTCCTAGAATTCCTACATAATACTTCTGCTTAAATCTCATTGGCCAGAATTTTGTTGCACGTGGTATCAGCCACTGTTTCATAATCCAAGGTGGCAGTTGCTGCTCTAGCTGTCATGTCTATGAAGAAAGAGAAGAGAAAGGGCTTTAAAAAGTCCTCCCCTCAGATAGTTCAATTTCTTATAAAAGGCATTCCTAGAATTCCTCCATAATACTTCTGCTTAAATCTCATTGGCCAGAATTTTGTTGCACGTGGTATCAGCCACTGTAGGGAAGGTTGGGAAATGATGTATTTCATGTAAGCACATCGAGAGCTCAGAAAAAATATTGGGCTTCTCTACTGTGGAATCGGGGGAGGTGGACAGAGGACAGCTGCTGTCCTGCTTTGGCTTGGAGCCCCAGCCCACGGCACAGCGCATGTGGGCCCCACGTCCTGGAAGAGGGCCAGCATGGGGGTCTCATTTAGTACAGTGGGACCCAGGCCCTCAAGAAGCAAGCAGCTGAGTGACAGAGGCAGACAGCACCAGTACCCCTTGGCTTAGGATGCCCACAGTGGCTGATGGGGGTACGAGACGGGATGTCTCTGGGTCTTCTGTGTTCTGAATCCTTTCTCATGTTTCCTAATTCCAACCTACAGAATCTCTCTCTCTCTCTCTTTGTTTTTTTTCAACTAACATCCTAAGGACTCCTGGCAAAGTTGAGAATTCAAGCGATTTATAATTTGAGAATACTTGAACCAAAATTGGAATTTGGTTGCCAGCTTTCTTAGTCCTGAGGCTATAAGAGCTTAGTAGTTATTTTAGCACAGTCGTACAAAGTCCCTGGATTTCTTTGCTTTAAGACTAGAATCTAGGTTTTTGAGCTTGTTCTCTACAAATGTAAGGAGAATTGCACAAATCTACTGTTAGCAATATCCTTCTCAATTATGGATAGATTAGATAGATCAGAAATCAGCAAAGATAAAGATTTGAATAACAAAATTAGCAGTCTTGACATGAAGGACCTATAAGAATTCTACAACCAACAATTACAGAACATTCTCAATAACCCTGGGCCATTTTCAAAAACTGTTGATGAACTGGGCTGTTAAGGAAATGTCAATAAATTTCAGAGAATAGCCGCCAGACAGATCATGGTCTCACCACCATACAATTAAACTAGAAGAAAGTAATAAGATTAAGGAAAACATCTTTATATATTTAGAATTTTTTTAAAAAAAACTTCTAAAGAATGGATCAAAGAAAAAAATCATACTGGCAACTAAAACAATTATTAGAACTCAATGGTAATGAAAATATTATATATCAAAATTTGTGTAGTAGAGCAAAAAATAGTGCTTTAGGGAAATTTATATCAATTAACTTTAAGAAGTTAGCAAAAGAGTAACAGAAGAAACCCAAAGAAAGTAGAATGATTGTGATTAAAAAGAAATCAATGAAATAATAGAAAACAAAGAAATAATACTAAAGTCATTTGTCTACAGAAAGAAGCACTTGATAAAATTTAGCCATTGTTCACAATAAAATCTCATGGTGAAACTTTAGTATAGAGCTTTCGGCGTGAGGAAGGATATTTTAAGCAAGATACACATGGCATTAATCATAAAGTTTAGTAAATTCAACTGCATTGAAATAAGAAAGCCTGTTTAGCAAATGATTTTAAAAACTATAATGACAAGCTAAAAATTGGGAGAAGTAACTTGCAAATCATACTCATATAACTGAGAAAGAATTAGAATTTTAAAATATATAAGGTATTACAAATAAATAAGAAAAATATAAACAACTCAGTAGAAAAATGGACCAAAGGTATGTAAGAGGCAGTTCCAGGAGTTCAAGTCGGTCCCTGTTTTGAAAGCTGGGGCGACAACGCAGGTTCCTTCCTGCTGTATTCATCACTTTTGAATGTTTGCAGGTGGCTGTGGAGACCAGGGCAGTCATAGCCTGGATGGAAAAGATCCCCTTCGTGCTGGGTGGCAACCTGCAGGGTGGCGAGCTGGTGGTGGCCTACCCCTACGACATGGTGCGGTCACTGTGGAAGACCCAGGAGCACACGCCCACACCCGACGACCACGTGTTCCGCTGGCTGGCCTACTCCTACGCCTCCACACACCGCCTCATGACAGATGCCAGGAGGAGAGTGTGCCACACGGAGGACTTCCAGAAGGAAGAGGGGACTGTCAACGGGGCCTCCTGGCATACCGTTGCCGGAAGTGAGTCTCTGACCAGCCCTCCCTCCCGACTTCATGGGGCCACGTGATGACAGAGGGACCCTACAGGCGTCTCCTCCCAAGCCCTCTTTTCATCATTACTGGCGGGGTTATCACTAAATAATAGCTACTGTAGGTAGGCATGCCCGAGGTGCCAGCACTTTGCGAAGCCTTTGCATAGACTCTCCTTTAATCCCCGCTGCAGTCTCTGAGGTGGGTGTAGTTTATTCCCAGTTTTATAAATATGAGATAACGGGGCTTGGAGACTCAAAGGGATCTCAGGCAGGAAAGTAGAGCTGGGGTCTGTTTGACTCTGTGGCCTGCTCTTAGTCACTGAGCTGTTCAGTTACTGGAGGGTCAGAGATAGGTAAAATTGGACTTAGTAGCAATGTTGGACAAAAAGGAACAGTGAAGGGACAGAGAGCATGCTGGTGCTAGCACTGGAGTCAGGGCTTTGTACCCAGAGCCATTCTGATTTAGGGAAACATCCTGTGCTATAAACTCATAAGGGGCTAGGCAATGATCCCAAGCTCAGGTGTGTCTTGAGACCCACCACGTGTGAAGACTGTTTCAGACACATCTGCTGTCTGGCTGGGGTCAGTGGGCTGGGCCTCCCAGCCACACCCACGGAACATGGTCAAAACTGGCTGTGTGCATGTGGGGAGCACGAGTTATAGCTTCCAGCATCCACACAGGACTGGAGAAGCTTCCAGGAGAGATCCCAGGAATTTCTCTGCAGCAGTTAGAAGCCCCTGGTCCACATGTCAGAATAAGCACTTTGCTTCCTGTCTCAGGGTTGTTCAGCTCAGGGCTCCTAAACCAGGGGAGATGAAGATGTCATATTCTCTAAGGTCCCTCTGCATTGAACTGCAAGACCCCAGGCATAATGCTTATTGCTTATTTTCTTGATTTTGTGAGGGCTGTTGAAGCCAGTGATGAATTTGAAAAGCATTCCGTGTCAGATAGACCTGGGTTCAAATCCCACTTTATCGGTTAGATGCTGGGTGACCCTCGGTAAGTTACTTTGCCTCTCTGAACCCCTATACTTTTCCATTTGTAAAATGGTCATGATGATGATGGTGATGATGGTGACGTCCCCCTCTAGGATGCTGTGAAGATTACATAGGTGGCGGATGTGGATGTGCCCAGTGTCTGAATTATCAGAAACACTCGGCTGTAAGTTCCCATCCCCCACCATCTCCCTCTATCCATGGCGTGCTCACTGTGAAATCTCTTTTATGAGCATATTATTCTCTGTTTCACTATGCTGATTAACCTTCATATTATTTTACTTTGCTAGAAATTCAGCCTTTACATACTTTTCGAGTAAGTTTCCACCCTTGGGAAAAGAAAAAAATGTAGAAATATTCGTTTCTGTGGTCATTTTAAAACATGTACAGAAAACTTGCCATGTTTTCTTGGTTATAGACCAAACAGAGGAATTTGATCTGTCTTCATCATCTGTACTAAATTAAAAAATCATTGCAAATCCCTATTTATGGAGAAAATCTCCTAATAGCAAAAAGCATTTTTGCTTTCCAGTCTTAGCCCTAAAAACCTACTTACAAAAATCTTTAAATAAAATATCTAGTTTTTATGGCTGCTGTGACTAAATTGGGTACAGACACAGCAGGACTCTCCAGTGTCAGTCAATAGTAACATTTTGAAAAGTTGGCTGCCACATAATCACATAGGCAGCATTTGATTTTTTTTCCCTAATCAATTATAGTTTCCATTATTTCAGGGACTTTGCGGCAGAGCCCTGTGGTAGCTCGAGCCTTTTTAATCACTCTTCTTCCCAGAGGTGTGATGAAGTCTGCAGATTCATTTCTTCGTAGATTAATGAAATGCAATTCTAATTTCCTTCCCTGCTCCCTTTCTGTCTTTTTGTTTCGTCTTTTCCACTCGTTAGAGGTGCCCGGGCAGGCAAGAGTTACTGGGGAGTGGGGCCGCCGAGAGCAAGGTCCAGTCAATTTCAAAATGCGCGTTGTTGGTCGTGCGTGTCTTTCAGTCCACAGTGATGCTAGCCGGTCTGACCCTGGGCTGCAGCCCGTGCCTGCCCCGCCACCGTGAAGGCAGGTGTTGTGGGAGCTTTAAGCAAGGTGTGTTCCATGTGGAAGCTGGTGACAAGGGAAGGATTCCAGCCAAAGAGAGAACACAGAGGAATGAATGTTTTGCATTCCCCAGCCAGGGCTGAAGACTTGTCAGGAACTGTCTGGGTCCCACCACAGCCCTTGTCCACATGCGTCTCAGGCAGGAAGGAGCAGTTTGCACTTGAAACCGTTCTCTGGCCAGGTGTCCTCAGCAAGGCCACGCAGACAGCACAGCCCAGACCTCTCCACCGACCTGGTTTCTCCTCCTCTCGCCCATTCTTCCAGGGCCTTTCGTAGACACACGGTGCGAGGTCGCAGGCCCACCCGGCATTTTTCAATATCCCATTTATTTCAGTACTGACGAGGCCTAGAGGTTGGGGGTAATGATAATTTTATGTGCCGCGAGGAGTCCAGCCCTCCCAGGAAGTCAGATCCTGTGCTCACCGGCACATCTGTGACCCATCGGTGTCCTGTGCTCCCGGCCACTCCCCACTGCAGGTTTGACTGAACGTGCCGACCTGGCATTTGACCGTTACCTTGACACCGTTCCGCCCCCTTTAGTCCACGGCTCTTACTGTTCTTGTTTTATCCCAAGTGTGAGCAAAGGCCTATTGCTGGTGACACGGTAGTGGCTTAAATCTGGAATCTGGTAGAGAGGGAGTGGTCGCATGTTTTGCTTCTGACTTCAGTGAGGAGGCAGCAGACGGATACAGAGTTGCTCCTGACACCTAAAAGCCATGATTTGAAAACAGACATTAACAGTGAGCGGGAAAGAGTACCCTGTGGTCCCCCCAAAGAGGGGAAGACAGGCCACGGCTGGTTAAAGATCGGAGGACCTGCCGTTTTCTCGGTCAGTGCAGGGTCCAGCCCGGCCTGCGCCACTTCCTGGGACGCTGACCCTCAGGGCCCCTGGAGGGCTGGTTAGAGGAGCTTCAACAACGTGCAGAACACGGCTTGCATCCTGTTCTCCAAAAACAAAAATGTTGGAGAGAAAGCTACGGATCCTATATGCCATCTAACACTCGTTTATTCATTTTACAGATACTGGTAATGTAGTGGTTTGAATGATGGCCCCCAAAAAGATAATGTCTGCTTTCTAAGACCCCAACCCTATGAATGTTAACTTTACTTGGAAAATGGGCATTTGCAGGTTTCACTATGTTAAGGGTCTCAAGATGGTGTCATCCTGGGTTACCTGTATGAGCCCCCAAAGCAGTGGGAAGTATCCTTGTAAGGGACAGAAGAGAAGAAAGGTGTGGAGGACGGCAGGAAGAGGGAGGCAGAGGTTGGAGTGACACTGCCACCAGCCCAGGAACGCCTGGGGCCACCAGAAGCTGGAAGAGGTAGGAGGGACGCCCCCTAGAGGCTTTGGAGGGAGTGCAAACACTTTGATGTCAGATTTCTGACCTCAAGGACTGGAGGAGAATAGATTTCTGTTGTTTTAAGCCACCAGTTTGTGGTCATTTGTAACAGCGGCCCTAGGAAACTGATGCAGGGACCAACTACATGGCAGGTGGGTGCTTTGTAGCCTGTCATGGTGACGGCAAGGCGTGGTTTGTCTGCTTTCGGCTCTGGGAGAGCATGGTAGGCTACAGCCCCCCAGCGGTGATGCTCTGGGTGGGGACAGGGGCAGGGCTTGTGGTCTGCAGAGCTGGGCTCAGACCTCAACTCTGGCCGTCTCCAGCCACATGATCCTAGATACTGCTGTTCCCGTTCTCAGCCTCAATTTTCTCATTTGTAAAGTTCTGTGATGCTACCTACATCTGCTGGGTTTGGGGTGACAACTAGTGACTTAACAGATACAGCATGCTTAGGACAGGAGCTGGCTTCTGTGAGGCACTCAGTAAAGGGCAGTATGGAGAGCTACTTTCATGAATCAGAATATAAAAGTGTCACAGAGCTGTGGCTGAGACAGCATAACATAGAGATAAATTCAATTAAATACTTAAATCCAGTGTTAATGATAACTTTACTCCAAAAATAGTGTTAAACTGAGTTTAATAAAGTAAATATCTTATTTTTAAAAAGCACTTATTTCAGTCCTTCTTTTATCAAAGCCACCCTTGGATGTGTCCGTCTGCGCCATAAACCGCCCTGGAGACATCCTTTCAACCCACACACCTTTCCTCTCATGTCAGTTTTTGTCTAGAGGAGATACCTGATACCTCCCTGTTCAAATAAAGTCCTCTGAATGTTCTAGGACATTCTTGCTACCTCCCCTGTGACACTTTGACCATGGTTTGGTTAAAATGTTGTTCCGTTGGCTTGGCAGGTCTGAACGATTTCAGCTACCTTCACACAAACTGCTTTGAGCTCTCCATCTACGTGGGCTGTGATAAATACCCGCATGAGAGCGAGCTGCCCGAGGAATGGGAGAATAATCGGGAATCTTTGATCGTGTTCATGGAACAGGTATGGCCTGGGTATGTTGCTGTGCTAGGAAGGGGACTAGCTGAGGAAGGTGGCCGTGAGGGTGGCTGGAGCTGTGGAATGGAATTGGGCTCCAGGCCTTGGCCGTCCCCCTGGGCCAGCTGCAGTGTTGCAAGGAACCACTGCTGTCCACACTTGATTAGACCTCAAGGAAGGGAGCACTATACCAACAGTGATTGCTCCCACTGGCATAGAATGAGTGAGAGGGTAGTTCCAGGGCTCTCAGATGTCACTCTGGGGAGGGGTGACATGTGTCTGAGGCCCCTTGTCTTAGTTTGCTGGAGCTGCCATAACAAAATACTTCAGGCTGGGGGACTTAAACAGCAGACATTTATTCTCACACAGTTCTGGAGGCTGGAAGTCCAGGACCAAGGTTCTGGCAGGGTTGGTTTCCTCTGAAGTCTCCTTCCTGGGCTTGCATTTGGTGGTCCTCTGTGCATGTGTCTAAATTTCTTCTTCTTATAAGGACACCAGTCATATTGGATGAGAACCCACCCTAAGAGCCTCTTTTAACCTAATTGCCTCTTTAAAGACCCTGTCTGCAAATTCTGACCACATTCTGAGGTATTGGGGTTAGGGCTTCAACACATCAATTTTGGGGGGACACAATTTAGCTCCTAACACCCTGCAGGCCTTCAGAGTCATTGTCACAGGTGACAGGGTTACTTATCTGGGGGCAGTGTTAACAAGTGCCTGCTGAGGGTCTGCTGTCCAGGGGGTGAGGGGCTCCTGCTGTCCTTGCTAGGAACCTCAAACACTTTCCCTGCCTCGTGTTCCCAAGCCCTCGCCCATCTTGCAACATTAATGAGATAACCCATTCTAGGTTAGTGCTAAAACTAATCAAATAATATCCATGCCCCGCTAAAACAGACTAACTGGAAACCAGAAGAATAAGCAGAACCAAATGTTGAAACTCAGGGCTCCTACCGATTGTAAATCTTTAAATTACGTGACTCTACCCTAACTCTAATCCATGAGAAAGTAGATCGCTGGGTTGCACACGGAGACTGCCCTTCCTCTGTGGTTGTCATGGGTGAGTCAGAAGGGCCATCCAGCCAGTGGCTTGAGCTGCCAATTTCCTGTTACCTGGGGCTGCACCTCTGCACAGATGGCAGAAGTTGGCCCCGTGGAGGTCCCAGGTGGCTCATTATAGGCCCGGGTGAACTTTTCTGGCACAGAAGGGTGTGAGCCCGTTCTTCCCCTCTTGCAGAAATCTCTCACCTAAGGAATTTCTATCCCCACCCTGGAATTTCACGAGGGAAGGTTCTTTATTTTGCATATATGAAAAGAGAAAAGACCTTGACTGTAGCAACCTAATTCTTCTTAAATAATGATACTGTTTAACCAAAGTCCCTCCTATGGATAAAATGCCCAGACATAAAAATATGTATAAAGAAAGTCATTGGAAATGATGGTGTGTCACCTTGGATTGTCAAATGGGGAAACTGAGGCTCAAGGTTCGGAGTTGATGTATGTCATATGACCCAGCTACTCACTGGATGGGTCCTATACACAAAGTTGTTATTTATAGGAAGGTCCCTTTGATTCTTTTCTTTTCTGTCTGACTCTTAAGGCCACATAGTACAGGAAAGTCAAAATAAATGTGCCTATAAAAATTAAATTATAGTTGGGTTTTTTTTGACCAGTAAGGAGATCGCAACCCCTGGCCTGGTGTGGTCCGCACCACGCTCAACCAGTGAGCTCACCGGCCATCCCTATATAGGATCCGAACCCACAGCCTCAGCACTACCAGTGCCGCACTCTCCCGAGTGAGCCACGGGGCCGGCCCTAAATTATGGGTTTTAGTGGATGTGTTTTATGAACCATTTTAGATCCCAATATTTTTTTAAGCCTCTGGAATATTTTAACTCCAATGGAAGGCTTTCTGATGCTCAGACCCAAAAGGAAGGCAGAAGAAGTTTGCAGAGCAAACCCACGCAGAGCCAGGCGAGCCTTTTGAGCTAGATGTGGCATGGAGCATTCCTGTTGGAGACTTGGCTGACCTTAGGTTCACAGCCCACTTCATTGTGCTGGTTGTGTCCAGAGCTGGTCGGTGAACTCACCCCATGTCTCCTTATGTTTGCTGAACAGGTTCATCGTGGCATCAAAGGCATGGTGACAGATTTACACGGAAAAGGAATTCCAAACGCCATCATCTCCGTAGAAGGTGTTAACCATGACATCCGAACAGGTAACTGAGAAAATGTGTGAACTGTTTCTCGGTAAGAAATACCCATTTTCTTAAAGTGTTTTACTAGGGTTACAGTCATGAGTTGAGCGTCAGAAACTTTTTACTCAGAGCTGACTTAGCATCTCCTTCCTCTAATTTTCCATTTTTCAAGAGACCTTTAAAAGTGAGCTTTTCAGCCTGTGCTTTCTGGCTTCTCTCTGTCCCTTCCCTCGAACAGGCACAAGCGGCCAGCTGACTTCCAGGTTCGGTGGAAGTTTCTGAGGAGCAGAGGAAGCAGCTCTCTCTCTCTCTGGGATTGTTACATGTGCAGGCAGCTTAGTCCCAGATCAGGCAGAATGTGGCCTGAGCCAGGAGCACTGAGGGGCCAGAGACGGAGGGCAGGCAGGCTGCTCCCCAGAGCAGCAGCTGCAGGCTGGGGGCCGTGCACCCATGGAGGAGCGCTGCAGGGCTGCAGAGGAGAGTTCCAAGGGGACAGCAATGACTGGGTGGCTGGAGTGGTGAGTCAGGATGGGGCCTTGATGCCTGTACAGGTGGGATGGAGTTTTTCCATTAAGCCACAGGAAACCACTGAACATGATGTTTTCGGAAGACTCAAGTGTCTGTAATGTAAAGAATAAGATAATAATAAAAGTATAAAGCTCTCACAGTGTTTTTGGTGTCTCCTATATGCCAGACACTCTTAATATCTTTACACGTATTAACTCAGTTATTCCTTACAACAATCCCATTTTCTCGATGCTCTCCTTAGCTGAGGAAATGAGGCTCTGAAGAAATGCAGCAGGAAGACCCAGCTCCTGCCTCTTGGGAGGGACGAGTGGCAGGTGGTGGTAACTAGTTGGAATTGGCACACATGATTTCCATTTGCACAGAGGGTAGAAAATTCTAGAATCTTAGATAATCTGAGGGTCAGAAGATGATCTCTAAAAGGCAGGGCTGAAATCTTATTCCAACTCTCTCTGCTACAGAAGCAAAGAAATTCTAGGCCTGGGGTCTTATAAACCGAACTTGGTTTCCAGTTCCTAAACTACCAAAATAGCCTCACATTTTTAAGTGCTCTTACAACGTGGCTGCACCGCCTTAGGACAGTAGAAGATTGTCCTGCAGCCTGCGAGTCACTCAGCAACAGCAGGAACGTGGTGCTGTTTCTCACATGATCTGTTCCCAGAAAATGTTTATACATGTTTTTCTCTCATTCTTGTTTTTACTTTAACCCTTTGAGGGAGGCAGGCCGTTCTTTCTCCCTTATTCAGGTGAAAGACAGAAGCTCATGAGGTTAGCTGACCCACTGAAGACTTAGGAGGTGAGCAGGGTTTGCACTCAGGACTCCGACTCCCAGCTTGGCTGGAAGATAGCCTGCAGATTAGAGAATAGGAAAACCAAGGTACTCTATCAAGTTCAGCTTTTCCCTTTGTGGCCCAGGACTGTCACCACCTGGGATGCTCAGCTTAAAACTGGAAATCTTGTGTCCCAGGAATGCGCCCTTTCCTAGGCAAACAGGCATGACTGCTTTGTGCCACCTGGCTCCCCACTGTCCCTGTGGACTGACAGCCACACGTTGGGCTTGTCACTGTAGCTCCTCCTCCCACCTAAACCCTCTTCCCCCCCAGGAGTCCTTTAGATCCTTCCTTGTCCCCTTCAGGTCTTGCTCAGATGTCACTGTCTCAATGCGACCAACCCCGGCCACCCTGTTTAACTATGCACCTGCCCGGTTGATTCCTCTGACCTGTCCTGATGTCATCCTTTTCTCGTGTATGGAACAGGCCAGTGTTCATTGTGCTACTCTCTGTGTATGCCCACCTCCTGCTGCGCGGGCAGAGTCTTGACTGTTTTGCTCATTGGTGTATTTCAAGCACACTGCCTGGCCACTTACAAGCAGTGGGTGCTCAACAAATATTTATTGAATGAACCAACGAATGGACATTACATGGTATTTGCAGGATTACACAGGGAATGGTAGAGCTGTGATTTGAGCTGAGTGCTTGAGACTCCAGATCCAGTGCTCCTTCCTTTATCCCCATGCAGTTTCTCCTTATGGGATGGAGAGGCCCCTTCTCTGCAAACTGTTCATGTGCTTTAACAGATCCTATTCTCCCAGCAGATTATCCCACTAGACATGCGAGAATATGGAGACTCTGGGACATTAGGATGAGGTGAGGCTGGGATTCACACCTGGCTCAGGTGTTCAGTGCCAGGCTGCCTACCGACAGTCCTGGCATACAAGGCCAGTTGGTTGGAATGTGCCTTAAATGCCACAAAATAATAGGCTATTTTAATGCCATAAGTTGCATTCTTTCCATCTAGTTACTGATTTCTTCACTAGATAGTATTCTCTAAACATTCCTTCCATTTGTCCTTGATCTTATAGCAATTAACCATGAGGTTTCACACTGTATAGCGTGGAATTTTGTACACGGTAGCTTCCATTTATCCATTTGTTTATTCGTTTACTCATGTATTCATTCATTAATTCAATAGATGTGGATTGTATGCTGATAATATGCCAGAGACCACGTGGGATGCTGGCGATCATTGTGAATGAGAGATAGGCTATTTGATCTGGTTCAGCACAGGCCTTGCATTTTAAATACTGCTTATGAGCTCCTTTAAAAGAGAGACTCATAAAAGAGCCTGGAACATTCCTTGGACTATTTAGTGCCTTGCACGCAGTAAGAGAAAGAATGAGGGTTTTAAACTGAGTGGGAGAGAAAAAGGCCCTGGGGCCCCATAAGCCCATGTGCAAATACTTTGCCAAATGGGCTCTGAATTTCAAGCCCCTGTAATCAAGGAGGCGGTTTTGCTGAGCTAATGGGAACCCATCGCTTTCCCTTGACTTTTCCCTTATAAATAATTCCCCAGCATGTGCTGGTGACTGGAGAATCCCATACTTGACACATGGCTCTTTATTTATTTTTGTTTCAGTGTCTTTTAGTGCTCCACAAAAGCTCTCAATTTCTTTGGTTTCTGTCTCAGCCTTATATGATCTGACAAGCTTTATTTTGGGATGGATTTTGCATAAAATAAACAGAAGTATTAAATGGAATTCCACAGGGGGGAAAGCTAGTAAGCATGCTTTTTAGATGCATGTAAATATGTTGGCTGAACACCTGGCTCAGAATTCCACATGACTGTCCTTTGTCTGGTGGCTGCTAACGTGACCTGCTAAGAGATGGCCATTCTTTGGGCCTAGGTTGCCCCTTCTGTCCACAAATGCCAAGCGTCATCCTCTGTGTCAAACTCCCATTGCGGCTCCAAGAAATGCTCTCCCTGGAACATAGACCTGATCGCTCAGTGGGACGGTAACCTGACAGTGTACCCTGCATTTCATAAAGCGAGTGATTCTAGGCCTTCCGGGTGGCCAAGGCTAGAAGCAGAGGTGATGAGAGTCTCGGGGTTAATGTGGGGAAAGCGCAGCCCAGCCCTTCTGGGGAGGAGGAGCCCTGCCAGGCAGATGAGAGAATCAGGCGGATCTGTGTTTCAGAAGTAGAAGCTTCCAGATTACAGAGCTAACACCCCTCACCCTGATTCTGTGAACCTCAATACATTCCTGATCGTTTCATTCATTCTTTCAGCATATCTCATTGAGCACCTACTGTGCACCAGATAAGAAATACTGCAGTGTGCTAAGTAAGGATGGCCCCTGGTCTCCAAGAGTACATGTTCTAGTGGAAGAGACCTATAAATAGTTTTAAAGGAAAATAAAAAAAGTTCATTACAGACTACGATCAGCGCCAAGAAAGAAAGAAACTAGGCAATATACAGAAACAGATAGGAAAGCCAAGGAAGGGTCCCTCCCTAAGGGGATGAGCATAAGCTGGCCTTTTGAAGAGCAGGGAATAGCATTCCAGTTGGAGGGAACAGTAATTACAAAGGTTCAGAGTCCAGAGTCAAGATGCACAAAGAAGCTGTGTGTGGCTAGAGAGTGGGGGGCCAGGGACAGTGGTATGCACTGATGTGGGAGGGGTCAGCAGGCCTGAGTTTGGGTTTTGCTCTGAGCACTCAGCCCTTATCCATATGGGTGACTCCCTCAGGCACACAGGAACATCGTCTCCATCTGCTTGTCCATTTCTCCTCAAAAACGAGTGAGTCATATCCAGATTTTCTTTGAGGGTTTAAGGGGCATGGGGACAGAACAAATCGCTTTTAAATTACAAAAAGTAGGTTTCATTATTAAAAAACAAAGTCTAGGCATTTAAGTAGAGTCTTAAGGCCTGAGTTTACACAGGACTGAAAGGAGTTGACCCAGCATAGCAGCTGGGAATAGCAGCGGGAACAGCACAGACAGAGGCCCAGAGGAGTGAGGTGTGTGTGTCCTGTTCAGAGAGTCACCAGGTGTTGCTCGGAGTGGCTGGAACACAGGGTTGTGGGATGGGAAGGGAGGGCAGGAACCAGGGCTACATAGGCTCAGGCCATGCTGGGACTTAGGATTTCATTGCCTTGGGAACCAGCTCCAAGGGCAGCTTTAAGGAGTGAGCACCGTGACCTACGTAAGGAGACCAGCCACAGCATGGAGGGTGGATTGGGAAGCGGGCAGGGAGGCGTCTTCTGGCTTTTGAGGGGAGAAGGGGAATCACAAAGGTGGATTACAAACAAAAGTTTGAACTGGTGGTGCTGGTAACCATTCATTAATTACAGGTTATTTTCACTCCTTTTCAGCTCCCTGAGCACCTCCCTTGGTGAGAAGCAGGGCTGCCCATTCCCTGGGGTGTTTCAAACTGACCTCAAAGTGCCATCGAGGCAGGGACCGTTACTGAGAGGTCTCGCCTCCAGGATCCTCGAGCAGATCAGAATGGCCTTTGGCAGGAGGGGGCTCCTGGCCTTAACTGGGCCTCTGAGCACCCACAGTAGTTGACACTTAATATGCGCAACTTCTCGTGCTAATGAAGCATTTGGTTTTCTGCTCGCTCATTTCTCTTCAGCTGAGCCAGAATTCAAGTGCGTGAGTACTCTTCGGTATTCAACTGGGGACGTCATTATGTGAAGCACACGGTTAAGTGCTGAAGAGTAGGACACAGGCTCTTAAGGAGCCTGCAGCTTAGCCCAAGGGCCGAGACTGGGCAAGGAGGCAGTTGATGCTCTTGGGGATGCGTGGCCTGGTGGAAGGGAAAGGTAAGGGGACAGGTGGCCCATGTGGAGGAGGTGGCATGCTCGGGTTTGCCTGGAGACGTCTCACAGGTTGAACTGTGTTTTGAAGCTCAGGCCATCCGATTGCGTGGTGAGGTTCCTTGATGTGCCACTTGCCTTCTGGAAAGCCACGCGGTGGAATTTCATCTAGTGGAAAAGCTTGCATTTTCACTGAAGGAAGACACAGGGCATGGCGCAGAGCAGCACCGGGGAGCCACCTACCTCCATGTCCCTGGGGTCCTGGTCACCACCTAGCAGACCGTAGGGACGTGTGGCAAGCAGCTGCCCCCACATTCCATCTGTCATCACATGGTGTGCTGCCGTGAGTCACTGCCTTGTGCAGGTGTCTCAGATGATCGAGATTGCAATGGGAATTCAAACACAAAGCTTCAAAGTGCTATGTGTGTCTGTGTGGGAGATGTATATTTACACACACACACACACACACACACACACACACACACACACACACACACACACACGGTTTCCTTCCATCCTTTACAAGACTTCAGGACTTGTTTAGACAAGTAAACAAAGTGCTATGTGTGTCTGTGTGGGAGATGTATATTTACACACACACACACACACACACACACACACACACACACACACACACACACACACGGTTTCCTTCCATCCTTTACAAGACTTCAGGACTTGTTTAGACAAGTAAACCTTGCCCAAGGTCTACTTTGCATTTGATCAAATCCAGCCTTTTCTCTTCATTACCTGGTACCAAAGCTTTAGACTGGGCAGGACATTTAGACTGTCACAAGAGAGACCTGCTAATTACCACCCATGTGACCTCGCACAGGACAGCTCACCTCTGGGCATTAAATTGCTCATGTAGAAAAGGAACTAATCATTCAGCCCACATCCTGGAAGATTCAATGTGTCATTGCAGGCCTGGTTCTTACACACCGTGTTCTCCCTGAGGGTCTCTAGTGGCTGCTCTTCTGTCCCATAGCCTCAAATGCACCGGGCATCTAAGTGGTCTCACCAGGTTGTTGGCTTCCTGAAAGGAGTGACCTCAGGCTAGAACCCGTCTGTATGCAGCAGGGAGCCAGCCACATTAGGTGTTTATGGGGTCATTGATCAGTGTTATAACTGGGGGCAGGGGTCCCACCTCAGCAGTAGCATCAAGGCCCTCTCCGCCTGCAGCTTCTGTGTGTAAATGTTCCTGCAGCTCCGAGTCTCTCTCGGCCCAGTCATGGAATGAACTGCAGGTGCCAGGACCTCCTCCCATGTCACTGGCCCTCATCTTTTTGGAAGTGAAGAACCCCACCCCTTTTAAAAATTACTATTCTTCTTCTATAGCCATGCTGAGAGAAGCTAGCAAGCCATATGCTGATGGCTTTTCAGATGGTGCTTTGTGGAGAGGGCATACCATTTGGAAGTTCAAGTTCATAATGAATGGCTGGTATTGTCACAGAGGAAGGAGTGTTAGTGATCGTTTCTCCATCTTGGCTCATGTGTAGTAACACTGAGGGGAGCCTACACCCCAAACCCCTTCCTGTTAAGACCATTAAGGCAGCTTCCAAAGAGAAAAACATCTTGGCTTCCAAAATGCATTAAGAATTTGTGCTGCAGGAGCTCAAATTCCACGCTGCTGGTCTTGTGTAGGGCTGATGGTGTATGTGTTACAGAAGAGCTGCTCTGAGCTCCCCCTGGTTTTCTTTTCACAGCCAGCGACGGCGATTACTGGCGCCTCCTGAACCCTGGAGAATATGTGGTTACAGCGAAGGCAGACGGCTTCACCACGTCCACCAAGAACTGTATGGTTGGCTATGACATGGGGGCCACACGGTGTGATTTCACGCTCAGCAAAACCAACCTGGCCAGGATCAGAGAGATCATGGAGAAGTTTGGGAAGCAGCCAGTCAGCCTGCCAGCCAGGCGGCTGCGGGGGCGGAAGAGACGACAGCGCGGGTGACCCTCCCAGACACTTGAGACATGTCCTGGGCCCATGCAAATTAAACCAGCCCTGGTAGTAGCTCCATAGCGGACTCGCTCACTGTTGTTTTCTCTGTAATTCAAGAAGCGTCTGGGTGTGTGCACTGCAAGGCTGGTCCTGAAGGGGAGTGCTGGAGGTTTAGGGTGTTTTCTTTTCTTTGTTTCCATTTATCCAAGTAACTTGTGCAGAGCAGCAGAGAAAGGCTGATGGAAGTGAGAGAATTTAGGAAGTCAACCTGGGAGGGAACCTGAGAGAGGGAAGGGCTCGCCCGTTCAGGGGCTCCAGGCTGCACGGGAAGGGAAGCGGATGCTCTCGTTTGTGTGACAGCAAGAGTTTCATGTGCACTTGCGATTTGCACAGCTAAAATTGCAGCTTCGGAGCCCTGCTGCCCCAAATATTAGCATTGGAGATGATCCTAGCAGAATCTGCCCTCTCTGCCCCACCCCCGGACATTCTGAGCTGCTACAAATAAATTCTGCATTTGGTTGACAATAGAGACATACCAAGTGGGCATCAGCAGCCTCTTCAATCAGGTTAGTTTCCATTGTCCACAGAGGACCGTGTTCATGAGAGGGGAGAACAGCTGAGATCATTCAGCAGGTGTCATTGGGGCTTGCCGGATGGTACCTGGTCCTCAGAGACCCCCCTAAACTCTCTGCTGGTCCAGTAGCCCTAAGGGCTCCCCAGGTGGGGAGAGCTGAGGTGCCAGCCTTTCTGAGGGTTCAGGTACATTAGCCTGTGTCTTTCCTTTGGCTTGTTGGGACTTAAGAAGAGCCGGTAAAAGGCCAGCCTGTAACGCTCTCTTCTCCAGGGACTACCCTACTCATGGAATGAGCATTCCTAAGTTGGCCCAACATCAGTATGGGAGTTATTTTTGATGTGTGGAACACCAGATCTTCCAAATCAGGCTCAATTTGATGAAAAACTCTTAGGGTTATCTGTGGAGCATCGGTTTGGGAAGGGTTATTGAATTACCATGCAAGAGAACAGCTGTGTCTCACATTTTATTAACGTTGCTGCCTCATGGACCTGGGAAGAATGAAAAAAATAAAGAAAGCAAGTGGTAAGATCCTCCTGGTGTGTGGTTTTTCTGGGTAGACTCGCAGCCACCCAATGCCACGTCCCACTGACTCTAAGGTCAGTAACCCTGGAGAAGGTGCCTGCTTCGGAGTGGGGATCCTGCACCCCCGTTAGTCTCGCACTGATGCTGACAGTTCTCTGATCCCTGCCTCTTCTCGGAAGAATCATGCTTGGGACCCACTAGTGGCTCCTGCAGATGCCGGTGAGCATCTTTAGAGAGATCTTTATGCAACTTTTAGATAGTCTACACCAGGGATCAGCAAACATTTCTTATAAAAGTCAGATATTAAATATTTTAGGCTTTGCAAGCCGTACAGTCTCTGTCATAAGTATCCAGATCTGCTATTATTGGACAAAAGCAGACATACACAATACATAAGTGGACGGGCATGACTATATTCCAGTAAAATCTTATTTACAAAAATGGGGGGTGTCTGGATTTGGCCTGCAGACTGGGACATAGTTGACTCCTGCTATGAAACCAGTGTTGTGGATGGAACTTTCCATGATGATGGAATGTTCTCTTCTTTGTTACCTCATGCAGTAGCCACTAGCCACGTGCAGCTGTTGAGCACTTGAATTGTGGCTAATGCAACTTGGAAACAGAATTTCTAATATTATATAATTTAAATTTAAATTTAACTTTTAATAGCCACATTTGGCTGGGAGCTATGTATTAGGCCGCATAGCTCTCAACTAAGCCCATCGTAGAAAAATCTTACCCTTGCAGCTTTAGATATGGTAGGTGGTGCTATAAAGCATTTAAAATTATAAACCACCTCTGTAGTTCAGAAGGGTTCATAATTCCACGTTTGCTCAGGGGATTGTGGATTTGTCAGGCCCCTCCCGTGCCTGACCTGGAAGCCAGATCCTGGCACTTGATGCCAAGGTGACTCGGTCTCATTGCCAGATTTAGCTGTGTAACTTGCAGGGCAGCTGTACACGGTCTGCTGCCTTCACTCAATTCTTGGCCCTCTCTGCAGAGCCGGTCATCAGGCTTAGCCCATTAACGGGCGCTTTGGCTCGCAGGCAGGGGGTGCTGCGTTCCAGGCCTGGCACTACCTGTTGGTGTGTGGCCCCAGGTCAGGTGGTCTCTCTAGTCTCTCATCCATGCCTGCAAAGTGAAGCCCTTGGACTGATAGACTCTACAGGTCAGGATTGCCGTGGTGTCTGCTGACTCCTGGCAGAGAGCTGACATCTGGCTTCCTAAAGCTCTATGATGGTGGTCGCATCTCTACTTGGTTCCTCCGTAACACAGTGGCTCCTCACTGGGCCTTCAAGCCTAGACCTGGAACCTCTCTCCCACTTGCCTTCTCACCAGCTTTTCAGCCAGAGTCACCCTCCTAGATCTTGCCTAGGGGCTCGGCGTGGGCCTCCGCATATGCTCTCTCTCCCCACAGCTGAAAACCTTCCTGCTTCTCTCTCCAGGCCTGTCTCAAATGCCACCTCCTCCAGGAAGCCTTCCCTCCCTCAGGACCACTGTGATTTCTTATGGCTTTCAACAAATCTGCACAGCCTTAGGGCCTCTCAGAGTTGTCTTATCTCAGCTTCTCTCTGCGGTTGACCTGGAAACTCCCCAAGGGCAGGAACGGGGTTCTCCTTAGTACTGGCCCCCAGAGGGCTACTGCTCCCTGCTCACAGCAGATGCTCAATAAACACGTGGCACTGAACTCATCTCATGCTCCGTGGTACCTTGCTTGTTTCCTTAAGGAAATTGACTTCTGGAATTGAAAATCTATACAATTTGAATTTATTTAATGTCTTTTTAATGTCTGTTCAAGACTCTTCACTTAAGGTGAAGCCTTACACTTGACTAGAGACATGTCCAAAAGCTTGATAGACTATTTCGTTTTGGATGTTTTTCTGTAGGACAAAATAAACTAGTGCAATGCCTCTCCCAGCAGAGAATCCGCCGTTTATTTATTATCTTTATTCTCCTACTCAAATCCCGGGTGGGTCACAATGGCATTACCCTTCTTAATCCCACTCTGTTTTATGTTGAAGGGCATTGAAGGAGCTGTGCTGTACAGAAGCTCAAATCAGGATTCTTCAGCGATCACAGCTCATTTTCTGTAAGTTATGGGGCACGGTCTTTAACAGGAAACCCCAGGATTTATTCAGTCTTTGTATAATGACATTACAAACAACTTGAAAACTCTAGCACGTTGTTAATGTATAGAGTCATGATATAGTGTAGATGATGCTGTATTTCAATGGTATTTTGAGTTGCAGGGCCAGAAAAGTGTCCCAGTTTTACAGGTCCAGAATTGACTCTGTTAGCCACCACTCTGCCTGAAGAACCTCAAATTTTCATACCACTTTGTATTAGGATATTCATACCTGGGGGGGGGTAGTCCCAGTGGTGAGGGTAGCTGCCACCCACAATGCCACAGCCCAGCAAGACTGGCCAGAAAGCTACAGAAACTGTTTCACAGCAGGCCGAGTCTACAGCTGAGCTCTGGGTACCAGGGCAACCTCTCCTGTACCATGGTAGCTGTTCTTCCTCCTGTCTATTGCCCACCACATAAAACAGTCCCAAGTTTCCAGCCAAGGCACAGGGAGTCTAGGGAAAATTTGGAAAAAGAAACCAGAGAGCTGGAACACATGGGGTAATGAATTTTTCAGTACCTTCTGGTGTGTACAGAGGAGAATGGCAGGTCTCTAAGGCTAAGGCACACCCCTGAGATCACTGACTCCAAGGACGGCAACCAGGTATCCGTTTGCAGGCTAACTCTGACTTAGTAGTAGTTGCTTAGAGCTTGGTGTTAAGAAGGATTCTGAAGCAGCGTCCTGGCTCAGTAGGAAAGAATGCTGCAACTGATTAGCTATGTCTGCTCTGGGTGTGAGGAGGGGGTGACAGCAGGAATGCATGGCGTTTCCATTCCCAAACCCATCCCCCTGGGTTTAGAGATAGGAAAACTGGGGCCCAGGGAGGGGCAAGAAGTGTCCAAAATTGTGCTTCAGTTCGTGGCAGAGGTGGGACTCTCAGGGCCATGCTCTGTCCATTGCTCACTGGAAAGCTGGAATTAGGCCCTGGGGTGGGCCTGGGGTCTGTGCCTCTGGCCTGCCAGCCTGACTTTCTCAGGAGCAGTTCACACTCCCAGGCAGTGACGGAGGCATTGGGAGGCACAGGTGCATGTCCAAAATCAGGGGACAAGCTCGTCTGGGGAAACTGTTAGTGAGGAGCTAATTAAATAGGTAATGGAGTCTGAAGGAGGTCATCAGGCCTGATCCTGGATGCTTTTTGCCATCATCGCTCTCTTCAGCTTGATACTGTTGGAAAAACCCAAAATTAAAAAGTTGCCTAGCCTGTGTAATGATGTAACTAAATATGCTTGTCTACAAGGCCCCCTGAAGGCAGTCTAGCTATTAATCAAGTGCTTGCATTCCTCGCTTCTGTAAGCTGGCCTGCATATCTGCTTAGGCCATGTGAATTCTGAGAAGCTGAAACCGGCAGCTGCCTGCTTGAGATGTATGTTGAGAAACCAAATCTTAAAAGAGTCTGCCTATAAAAGGCCCTGTAAAAGCTGGGTTGGGGGTCCAGAATTTTGGAGCACTAGCTCATCTGGACCAGCTGGTGCAATAAATTTCTAACTCTCCAACTCTCCAAGTGTCTGACGCTTCCTTGCCGAGACCATTTCCATGACAAGACAACCTAACAGCCAGTGGTGTCCTGATGCCTGGCCCCGTTTTGATCTTTGGTTGGTGACGCATATCGGAGGTGTAGCTTCTGCACCCTCTGCAGCCTGGTGGGCTTCCTGAGCTTCAGGGGTCAGCACTGCACCAGCATTTCTTGTTATCTAACCTATTGTGAGAGCCAGCCTGGCAGAGGGAGGGGACAGTGGCTCCGTTCAACATCATCAGGGCCTTGGTCAGTGCACTCTGTACACGCCCCATCCATTCGTCAGCATCCGTGGGGAGTCCACTTTCTGGAGCCTCCTCCCAGCCTCTCCGGAGCAAGACTGAAATGTCACTGCATCATGGTGAGTCCATCGGCCTCACTTACCCCTGAGTCCTTCAGAATAACATTCAGTAAAGTGAAGTGTTTGAGAGCCTCGTCCTTTGTGCCAGGAGATCTGGGTTCACATCCAGCCCTGCTGCTTACTCCTGCACTGCCTCAGGTAAATTGTGTAATCTTTAGGAATCTCACTTTACTCATCTGTGAAATGGGCACAGCAACAGGGCCTACCTCACACATCTGTCATGAGACTCCAATGAAAAGTATTTGGACAGGCAACTGGCACATTATAAGCACTCAGATGCAGGGCAGCAGCTAATTTTTTTTGTTTGCAGGAACTGTGTTGCCAGCACTGTGCAATAGCTCTTTTAATCCTCACAACTGCATTTAGAGGTAAATATTATTATCATTCCCAGTTTTCAGATGAGGAAACTGAGACTTAGGGTATGCATAGAGAAGTATAGTCAGATCATCTACTTTGATTTTTTTGATTTCTTTTAATCACCACGATGGAAGCTACCATCTTGATCTACTCCTTAATTTGCTCTTGAAACCTGCATTTGCTGAGCCCAAGAGCCAAGCAAGCAGATTTCCCGGCATGGAGAACACCTGCTGCACAGGGCCAGCTTTCAGTGAGGTTTCACAGAAACTCCTCCTGTCTGACCCTGCCTCACTCCTCATCCTCCCCAGCATGAGCACAAGCTGTCAGGCTCCCCACTTGGGCTGAGGGAGACAACAGTACCACGGTCCTTCATGTGTCATCCCTTTCCAGCTCCAGGAAGTCCAGAGACTCCACAGCATCAGGATCCAGTTCTGTGCCTTCTGCAAATTCATGTAAAACACAGAGCACAGAGGCTGGGGTGGGAGAAAGAGCTGGAGATCTTGAACCCCACAGAGAGTTTCCATAGTGGCCCCAGGCCTTTGGAGGAAGGACAAAGCCCACCTGTGACAGCACCTCCCCAGGGACAGTGGGATCTGGAGGGAGAGGAAGGAGCTTTGGGGGTGAGTGGGTTAACCTTGATCCTGGTGCCAC